AGGAGTTCGAGTATTTGAACAGAGAGTACTCGCACACCTGTTTAAAGCGCGTTACCTGAACAGTTGAGATTCTATTAATAGAAAAATACCTGCTATTTCGGATATTTAGACTTGTCTTAACAGATATTTTGTCGAGGAAAGAGCTATGCTTGCGTCATATGCAGAGAGAAAGGAGGTTTATACCGTATTTTAGACTGTTCCCTTTCTTGGGATAACCCTAAGAGTTTGTTTCTGATTTATCTGCATCTTATTGCCACCTTTGAGATGGTATGATCACCTTGGAAACACTTAATACCAGTTGGCTGTTAGAATATATTGTAATATGTTGGGTTATGGTTTTTGAAACGAAGCGGCTGTACCATTGCCGCAGTTAGTTCCATTTGAGGTGCACTGTAATGGCCGGGAGTCTCTTTACTTAAGTCGGTAGCAAGAGGTTCGGAGTAAACTCCGCATGTTACTTTGTCATCGAGTTCAGAGCGGTCAACGAAGATGGCTACGAATCTTTGATTCAGAACTATTACATATTCTTATTTTTATTCTGTCTGGGATTTTTGTCGATATTGTGATTGTGATGATTGTTTTCAAAGTGCAAAAAACGGAAGTGCTGTAGTCCATATTTTCCTAGAATGGTTAAAAGTTCAATATTACGGAGTAATCTGCGCGGTTTCCTCACGGTTGAGTTGTTTTTCATCTTATGGCATTGCTGTTTGCATGAATTTTGCCATGTAAATCTACCGAGAGAAAAGAGATTAGGAAGGAGTTGAAAGCAGCGCATCTAGATTGAGTGTTTGGGTCGACTTTTCATAGCTTAATGTAAGAAGTAGTCTTGTGTCAATGACTTTATAGTATAATATAAGTAATTGCTTTGTAAAACTAGTATACAATATGTGGTTTTAGGATCCATCTTTTGTCGATGGCCACCTTGCAGGCGGTTATAGATTTTTTACTCTCTTCTACCGTGTTCCAGTACCAGGTGAGTTTGTCTTCTGATTAGGCTTAGGTATTTAACCTCTTAAAGAGCGATTTCGAAGCCTAGCACTAAGGGCGGTTGAAGAGCTCCTTTCGGTAAAAACTACTGGTTTGGTCTTTGAAGGACTTACATGCAAACCGCACACACTCCACCAGCTTCCTCTGTACTATATAAAAGGCATTTTAGGGTAGATCGCTTAGGACTTAAAGGCGTTTTTCAGTCGCTGGGAAGGCAATATCGTCAACGTATGATACAGTGCAGAAGGGTATGAAGATACGCGTTGGTTTTGAAGATGGTTCAATTCTGAGTAGGTAACAGTTTCTGGGAATTATATTTGTAAAATCATAAAAATTCGGGGATCTTCCGAAAAATATCGTAATATTTTGCAAAATCACTTTTTCTTATGATATTTTTCTAACTATTACTATGTCTTAGTTACTGCGGATTATCCAGTGGCCATTAAACTGATTTCGAATTTCACTTATAAATTTCAAATTCCCTTTGATGCATATATTTTAAAAGAATTTCATTAAACAACGCACGAAAAATAAATAATTGATCCGCATTTGTGAAAAAACAGATTTTGAATGTTAAAAATTACATTCATTAATTCACAATTCGCCACAACAAAATTTAAGTGAATTATGAGCATAGATAATTTAGAAAAATATACACGTACGCGACACTATAAACTAATAATGAAAAATATGTTTTTTCCTACTTTTTTAACAATCAATGACTATGAGAAAAAAGCACAGCAATCCCATTACATACACACATTAAACAAAATCACCAGTTAAAGGTTTTAATGCACATTAGCTGTTTGATGAGCTCAACAAGAAAAAACGAACACTAAAAGCCAATGACACTGCTGTACCAAAGGGAAATAGTAAAGAAAAAAATAAAATAAAATTTGATATTCAAAAAACCTAAAACCAAAATGACTCACAAGTTAACTCCACACTCCCCAAATGTAAAAACAAATGTGAGAGTAAGAAAAAAAATTGATGGAGAAAAAAATTAAAATGAAACAAAAAATCGTTTTTTACAACTAAAGTCAATACCCAGAACTGTTGTAATAAAATATGTGTTGTGTTGTGCTGAAGATCATCAAAACATCAGAAAAAGGCATCTAAAGGGCTACACGCATCACGTTACAACTACGCCGTTAAGTATTCAGCTCAGGTTGGAACAGCATCAAAATTGATTGTTGTTGCTATGGTAGTTATCTTATTGTTGTATAGCTCGCGCCATTTGACTCATCAACACCGTGCAGAGGATAGGCTTAAATACACGTATATACATACATTTGTACATATGCTTGTTTGTGCATACATGTTACATTTATTGGAGCGACTTTTGAAAAGTGTCAAATTGGTTGGTGGTGTGGTTTGTTTAATGTAACAACAACAATGGCTAAAATGTAGAATCGATGAAAATATCTTTTAAGTTTTATTTTATTATTATTTTTTTTTGATCAGTTTTTTATATGTTTTTATGCAACATTTTTTAGCATGAGTGCAAAGTTATGGCAAATCAACCTTTTCAGTCGGTTTTGGACTTTTTAGTCACATTATAGTCGCAGGTTTATAATTCAAAAGCTTTTTTGGAATTAGCATTTTTTTTTTAATTTTTCAAAACGATGCTTTTTAATATTGATAATTTTCTGCGTAAATTTTTTGAAGTTCAACAACGTAATTTACAATATTTACTAAGCACTTTCGAAATTGGGTTTCATTGAGTTACTTTTTTTGTTTTATTTACGTTTTATATTCATTGAATCGTGGTGGGATTTTTCACTTTTTCAAGTTTACCTGATTTTTTCTACGAACTCATGTACATAATGCATGTGGAATCACTAAGTGGGTAGGCATAATTATTATTTTTTTTATTTTTTCCGTTTATAGTTTTATATATATAATATTATTTATAACGCTTTGTTTTTTTAATTGTTTTTTATTTTTTTTTTTTATTTATTTTTTTTTATTTTTTTTTTTTTTTTTTTTTTTAACTCTTAAGTATTCGGCTCATTTCGTGTCACCTTACCAATTAGCTGTTGATTGCTGCATGATTGATTTTCTCCTGTTGTTGTTTATCATAATTCAATTAAACATGTCACATGTAAAAATGAATTGCCCAAACTCTTTTTGTTTCCTTCATTTCCATACATACATAGCATAAAAATTTGAGCGCATTCGCCGCATTCCAATAGAGACTCCACGCTTAATCCGCTTCATCTGCGCTGTTACGCATGCGTGAGTCATGCTTTTGGCATGCTGCTCTTCTTAAGTTCGAATTTACCATTTCAATAGCTTACGCACATATATTGCGTGGTTTTTTTCATATTTTATTTTTCAATTTAAACAAGTGTTTAGCACTTCTTTACCAGCATTTCTACTCTACTGCAAATAATTTCAATGTCGATTGCGTATATTTCAATGCTTTTAATCGCCGCTGGCGTCGAGAAAATTGGCCTTTGCAACTTTGTTAGTTTCTCACGACTGTTGTTTTATACTGCAATTGTCGAAGTAAGTTTTTTGCGGCAAATATCTGGGCAATTTGATATTTCCGTTTGAGTTTTCGAAGTTTGGTATTGGCAACAAAATAAAACACGAATAATTTAATTAAAAGAAAACAAAATAAAGTAAAATAAAATCAAAATAAATGGAAAAAAATTAAATTAAACTAAATATAATTAAAAAAAATTTAATAAATTAAATGAAATAAAAGAAAATAAAAATATAAAACAAGAAAAAATAAAATTAAATTAAACTTTATTAAAAAAGAGCAAATTAAATAAAATTAAATTAAATCCAATAACATTATTTAGACTTAAATTAAATTAAATAGAATTAAATAAAAGAATTAACGAACATAATATAAGGAAAAATAATATAGAAAATTAAAATAAATGAAATAAAATAAAATTAAATTAAATTAAACTGAATTATATAATATAAAGTAAAATTAAATAAAATAAAATTAAATGAAATAAAATAAAACAACAAAAAATAAAATTAAGTTATATCTTTTATATTTAATTTAATATTTAAAACAAAAAATTAGATAAAAAAAAAATAAAATTAAACATTATTAAATAAGAGCAAATAAATTTAATTAAATCAAATGGCATTAATTATACTAAATTAAATTATATTGAATTAAATAAAAAATTAACGAAAATATAATAAAAGAAACATATTTTTTAAATAAATGAAATAAAATAAAATAAAATTAAACTAAATTATGTAAAATAAAATAAAATTAAATAAAGGAAATAAAATAAAATTACAAGAAATAAAATAAAACAAGAGAAAATAAAATTAAATTATATGTTTTATATATAAAGTAATATTTAAAATAAAATATGAAATAAAATAATATTAAATTAAACTTTATTAAATAAGTGCAAATAAAATAAAATTAAATCAAATTTACGAAAAGAAAATAAGAGAAAATAAAAAAATTAAATTGAATCAAAAGAATTTTAAAGCAAATTAAATTCAAAAAATTAATATAAAATGTAGCAAATTTTAATAACATTACACAAAGAAAAATTAAGATAAAATATAATAAATAAACGGAAAAAGTATACATTAATTAAAATAGAATGAGCCAATTTAAAAAAATTAAGTTAAAGACAAATAAAGCAAAATAGGATTTACTTAAAATAAATTTAAGAAACTAAAAAAAAATAGTAAAGTAAAATTAGAAAATAAGAATTGAATAAAATTAATTTAAAATAAATCAACGTAAAGTATAAAGCTAAATATAATTGAAACAATACAAAATAAAAATTAATAATATCAATGAATTTAATTAGAATAGTATAACTTAAAAAAAAATTAAATAAAATGAAGTGATATCTAATTATCAAATATTTAAAAAGAAATAAAACAAAGAAGAATAAAAAATGAAGCAAACTAAACTTATGGTAAAAAGATGAGAAATATGAAAATAAAATCAATAAATGCAAATAAAAGAAAATAAAATCTAAAAAATCAACGAGACTAAAATAATAAAAAATAAATATAATTATATAAAAATATTTAATAAAATAATATAAATTAAATGTATGATTTACGCTTACAATTCAACACCATGCTTATCTTTCTTACAATATTCAAGTAAATCTCTGTAGGTCTTTATATATTTCAGCTACTGTGACACATATCGAAAAAGCCTTACTTAGCATGTCATATTTTTTTTCTCTCGCAAGGAAATATCAGCCCATAAGAAATTGTTCATTAATTTCATTCGAGAGCAAAGTAGCTTAAACCACTTCAGCAGTAGTCACTCCGCTACAAAGATCATCTTTCAGGAAAAAAAACCTGTTATCCAACATTTTTATTTTGAATGCTGATTATCTTCATTTAAAAAGTGCAATCAATTTACACATAATGAATATAATAATACAAAAAAGATTTAATATAAAGAGAAGAAAATTATATAAAAAAGGACACACAAAATACTTTCAAGCATTAAGATTTTTTTGTGGAGATATGAGAACATGTTTAAACCTCAAAATTTGTGACGTGATCATTTAGCGTTCAGTTTTAGTGCCAATGAGAAGTTGAGATGCTTTTGAAATGCAAAAGATCAAGAAAATTTGATGAAGAAGAATTAAGAAATCGAAAAGTGATTGATGAATATATTTTGAAATGAACTTGTATGTAGAACAAAGTAAAATCTAATAAGAGATGAGACCAAAATACTACTAAATATGAATGTTAAAATTAGGGAGCAATACTTTTTTTATTTTTTTAATAACATAGATAACATTATTTTATAAATGTTTTTAATTTCTCAAAACCCAAATTATTAAGCCTTTAGTGTAACTTCCCGCCACGAAACTGAAATCTCAACTTCATAATCACATCTTTCAATTCCCGCCAATCAGTTGGCCGTGATTTTAATTCTCCAATGCTTGGCTTGCAAACGAACATAATATCTCAGCACAGCGTGCTACAAATGACAGAGATTTTGGTGTAGTGATCGTCCAACTACATACAGGTATCTCGTTTTCTCTACACTCTCTCTGTATCAGAAGTTTATGCCGTTTACCTGACTTCTTACCACCACTGCTATTAGACGGCGGTTTTTACTCGTTGCTATTATACCGTAACGAATTGGACAAATATTGCACACTCTTCGACTTCGCTCGACCAACGCTGAGAGTCGCTCAGAGACACTTGTGTTAGTACAGGTGAGCATGGAAGTATTGCAGTGTGCGCCTTAGTACGTATTTTGTTTACCCACATGAGCTCATTGCTAGCGGTGCCACCACCGCCAAAACGACCACTAGTTGCCAACATCTTACCTCTGTGCTCTTTTCTTTATTTTTTCTTCCCCCGTTTGAACTTTTTGTTGTTACCTGTTTCTATAGTGGACTTGTTTGTTTGACTTACGTTGCGTTCGTCGGTCAGTCCAATTGTTCTGCGCACAGTCAGTTATTTTTTTTTTCTACTTTGTTTAACTGACTGTCAGTCAAGCCGTCAGTCAATTCGTTGGTTGTTTTCTTACTTTGCTGTACAACATTTGTGTGGTGTTCTTGTGGGTCGGTCTAATGAATACAAATGGTTTTGCTTGCTCATGTCAGCAACGAGTTTGGTGTTTGGGGCACTAGTAGACTCGATATTTACCTGTTTGCTCGTGAGAGTGGGAGAGCCTCATTCTCTGGGCTTGCATGATTTTGCTACCAGCTTGCCGTTTGTGCGAACAAGTTTCAGTTTGATGCCATAGTTTCGAGTGTTTGGACGCGTTTTTGTCGCGCATCGAATGTTTACACAATTTTTTTTGTGTTTATTTATTTGGCTTTGTTTTTTTTCTTCTCTCGGTTTTCATCTTAGCGCGCAAAAGTAAAATACAAACGGTCGTGCGGACAAAGAAGCTGTGAACGATTCGCTCGAGTTCTTGTCTTCTGAAGTGAGATGTGAAAGATACGAATATTTGTGTAAAAACACAGCGAATAAGAATTTGTTATATAAAATAAAAATATTTAAAAATTTAATACAAGTGAAAGCCATAGAAAAGCTTTACAATTAAGAATAAAAAATATTTCGTTGTAAAAAACTCAAATGATTTTCTATGTACAATGGAAAATTAAAATAAATGTGATTTATAGTGTAAAAAGATATAGAAATACTGAAAGTTATTTATTGCCGATTACGAATGGATGTTATTTATAAATATATAAAACAAATATAAATAACCCAAATACGATGCTTTTAGCGTAAAATTTAGTAAGTAAACAAAACTTCTAAGGAATTGTAGCTGCCAAAAGAAGTGTTGATGCTGGAGCGCGGTAAACGAATTAGAAGAAGAATAGCAAGATAAAAATTCAAATATATTAAATAAAATTATAATTAAGTATAAAAACAAAAAAATTAAATATATTAAATTAAAGAAAAACTAAATCAAATAAATAATAATTCAATACTTATAAGCAAATATAACTAAGCAACATAAAATAAAATAAAAATATAGTTTTATTATATAATAAAATAATATAGAACAAAATGAATTAAAAAATTTAATAAATTCAAAGAAATTATATTAAAAGAATATCAATTAAATTAATTGAAATTAAAATATATATGGTTTTTGGCGCTTTGTGATCACTAAAGTGATTTTCGACGGAGCTGCTTTTCTAATTTTTTGTGTGGTTGTCGATATTTTTCCACCCCGAAACGGCTCATTGCTTTATATGAGATGCCGTTATTTCATATCGGAAATACACTCGAAGTTGTTGACACTTTCTGCCGTGGGGCGACCGCAGTTAGAAGATCTAATTTTTTTTCATTTAAATTTATCTTCTATAACTTTTCGATGTTGGTAGACCCTACTCGAACCCTAGTATTACGAATGACAATATAAAACGAAAAATATGATAAAAAATTAAGATAAATTAAATTTTAAACAAAAAGAAATAAAAACTTTATTTAAATTAAGATAATTTAAATTATATTGAATAAATACTTATTAAAAAATAATAAAATAAATAAATCAAAATGAGATAAAACATGCTAAACTCATATTTTTCAAAACTCTAATTGCTTCTATTTAAATAAAATTTTATCTTATACCAAATTATTAGTACAAAAAACTCGCTTAAGAAGGTTAATGAAGTCATAAATATGTGAATTCGTTGATAAACCAGTTGTTTTCAGTTCACTCTGGCTAGATGACGTTTTGACTCAAAACTTAACTAGAGATAATATTTTCTTGTTCGGCTGCTGATTTAAATATTTTGGTTGAAAAGTAAAAACTAATACTGATACCAATTACTAATGTATAATATATGATTATGTATATAGTTATAAACAAATTTGTAGAAATATATATTCAACTGCTCATAAGACAAAAGTTACTTTGACAGCAGGTGTGTAAATTGGTCCAAACGCATAAATTTTTTTTCTGTGCGTTTTTTTTTTGTTTTTGCTATAAATATGGTTCAACGTTTTCTTAAGCAATTTAAAATGTGCACTCATAGTATAATAAACAAATTTAATTATACTTGACAATACTACTCGCTACTTTATGATCGTCAATAAAGCTACAAGTTAAAGGCGTGAAAGCTGAATGCGGAAGTGGATTAAGACGATTAAATGAACAAATAACCCAAAAGGAAATTGCATCGGATATTAAAATGATTGTAAAAAAATTTTAATTTTTTTTTAAGAAGAGAGCCGGATTAAATTAAAATATTAGAAATTTCACACAGCTTTAATCATTTTTGATTTATTATAAAATAAACGCAAAGAGGTATAATTTGATATTTTTTTTAATTGAAAGAAAATATTAAAGATTATATTAACTTTAAAATATGATTTGTACAATATATTCACTAAAACTTATTTTAATAAATACGAGTATATGCCTAGTAATATATAAAAGGAAAAATATTAGTGAAAACAATTAAAAATATTTTTTAATTAAATTTAAAAAAAAATAACAAACTGTTCCAGAGATTCTTATATCTAATCCTCTTTTTCTCTCACAATATAATATTGTTTTATTAAAGAACGTTTAACAATTTACAAAAAAAAATATTATTTTGTTATTTAAATAAAAATTGAAAATAATTAAAAAAAAAACAATATTTAAATAATTCATTCTAAAGATTTTTTTTATAGATATCTTAAATATAATTATATAAGTAACATATAATTGAAAATTTGTATATTTTTACGACAAAAGATTTTTTCCAATAATTATTTGGTTATTACTCAAAAAAATTCGAATTCTTCATATCATTCTTACAAAGACGATTTAAATAAAAAAGAATATTTGGTATCTCTTTTATATTAACAAACATCTTTTAATTTTCAATTAAGTTGCTTTCTTAACTTTTTAATACCTCAATTGTTGCTTTTTTAATACCGGCATTTCCTAGAATCCAAGCTTAAATCACTTTACCGCAAACGTTAGCTTTGAATTTCAATTTTCAGATATTTCTTAAGAAATTTCGCCTTCAACTTGATGCATACCAACTAAAAATTAACACAACACTTCATTGGACACTCAACGTAGAACAACTCAAAAGGGATTTGCTTTAAGTCATTTAACCTTACTCTGCCACAAACAAGTCGCTCTTGTGGATACCAACACGTTTGAGGTTGAACACACCTAAAAGCGTTTCGCGAAAGCATAACTTTAAGGCAAAAGGTAGCGATTTACAGTCTAAAAATACAGAAAACACCCAATAAAAATAATGAAGAAAAGTAAATAAATAAATAAAAAAGTCCAACGCTGACTTTCGGGGTAAGCACTTATTTATTTGCTTTACTCAGTCAGCGCTGTCAATTACCGGCATTTGCATAAAAACAACATTAATGTAGCTAAAGCAATAAACACAATAAGAACAACAACAACAATAAGCACTAAGAATATGTTTAAAAAAAAAAAGAGTGACTGAAAATTACTAACTATTCAATCAAATAAAGACACATCTCGCGCTTTTCGCCTCACAAAATCATTAGTATTCCATTGGGTAAGCGCGAATCGGCAACAAAAGACTTAAAAGACAAACTTGATGGCGTTTATACAAATTTATTTTTACTTAATTTTTTTTTCTAGTGTTGTAGATAATGGCAGATATGTGAACATTTATATGCACCACGCGCAGCCAGGCTATTGATTAACCAGCACAAAAAGGATTTAGATTTTTATGCTTGTGGTTGCTGCTGTTGCTATCGACACTGTTTCAGTTGTAGTTAAAATTTCTTCTTGCTGCAGCAAAAAGAAAAATCAAAAATTTATTATGCTGTCAATGTGCGCATACTCATAACTAAACATACATACCCACATACTGACATGGTGTTTTAAGCATATAATATATATGTTTTTGTGTTGTTGTAAATTATTATGCTGCTACTGTCGACTGTCCAAGTCGCCTGTCAATAATACCCTAAAGTCAACTTGTGATTATTTGCCTTAAGCAACTGACCCTTGAAGCTCTTGTGGGTATACATATATATGTAGGTGTATAGTTATTTGTTTATCGCTTCATCACTGCATGGACGTTTCTATTATGCAAATGCAAATATTTATTGATTTTGTACGCCGGTGTATTCATCTAAATATACGCGTGGAATAATGCGCATACAATTATGCACTGGCATAAGTACTTGTATACATACAAACAACTATATATTTATACATTAAAATAGACAGCGTAGTCAGTTCTGCATTTGCTACCCGTTTTAACCTTTTATGGCTGGATTTGATTTGTTTTGCGATAACAATTGATTATTGATGGTGGTTTCAGGAGGGTGATTGATAGCAAAAAATATTTTTGTCATTATATTGGAAAAATAAAATAAAATTGTTGGACATAAATGGTAAAAAAATAAAATAAATTTCAAAAATTGCAGTAAAAAAATTTGCTAATAATTAAATGTTAGTAAGAATAAAGAGTTTCAAATAAAATTTCAAATAAAATTTCAAATAAAATTTTCCTTAAAAAGAACCGTTTGTTTCAAATAAACATAAATAAAAAAAGTTTCTGAAAATTATTTTTTATCTTTCTCTTATAAATTTTAAAAAATAAACTGTTTAAAGAAATTTGTGTAGATTCTTATTTTTTTTTTTATTTAAAAAAAATAACTAACTTAAAAAATTAATACTTGACTAAAAAGATAATTATTTAATTTTTATTAAGTAAGTTTGTATGAATTGAATATTTGTTATACCACAAATGGTAAAAGTGACAGCTGTTTCGGAGATCACCACATCTCTTCATCAGACTTCTTATGGCAGGGATCGAACAAACGGATCCTGACTTAACCGGCGAGTGTTCTGCCACTGCGCCAACATCAGCCATATAATCTGTTGTTGTATTATTCAATTCATTATTAACCAACAACTATTAAGTGCGCTAATTTAGTCGCTATTTTCTCAACAGCTTGGTTAGTGTGTTGTGTTGGAATCCTCTATACTTTCAGGCCAGATAATTATTTTTTGATTTGTTAAAAAATTATGGTACTTTTTATTTCTTTTTTTTTATTTTCCACTAATTAAAAATTAATTATTATTTGTTAAAAAAAGATCTTAAGTAATTAATAAAATATTATATTTAATTTTTCCTAATTACTATGAAATTAATAATTTTAAATAACACTGATTTTTGTTCATTTTACTTAAATACCCAAAATAAACCAGCATTTCCTGCAATTAGAAAAAAATTAAAATTGTAAAAAATTAAATAAATTTTTTTTTCATATAAAGGAAAAAAAACAATTTTAGAGATAATATAAAGTTTTAAAACCTCTTAAATAAGTTAATTTTAGTAAAAAAAAATGTCAATATACACATAATGATGAATTAGTGAAAAATTGGAAATTAATTATTTCTAACAATATTTTTATATTTGAATTAAGGAAAAAAATAATAATATATGTTGATATGCGTTTTGTTATATTTTTGTTTTATTATTTATATCAAAATTTCAAAACACTTACCAATATAAATGTGAAAAAAATAATAACTTTTCCCTTTTATCTGTATACATTTCCTAACTTTTAACATTCAGTTTAATTTTTATTTTAATTTTAAAATAACCTTTGCATAATGAATTGGTAATATTTTTTAATTTTTCATTTTTTATTGATGTTGGCTTATATTTTTTCGTCAGCCAGCTGCTGCTATAAAAAGATCTCATAAATTAATTTGAGTTGACTATTAAAAAATGATTATTTACAAAATAAAAGTAATGTTTGGAAACATTACGATGCATTTCTCT